TACAAAATCAGGAAAAATTAGGTAAAAATAATTTTAATTTTATTTCTTTTTAATTTTTAAATAAATTAATATTTCAAAGGAATTATATTTATTTCCACTCTTACAAAGTGAAGGTGTGATAACCTTCCTGAAATATGCATATTCGMATTCTTTCGTTATCATTCCCATATTTGTAGCAATAGAGTTTCTATGGCATATACATACATACATATATTATTTCTTTAGCACATTTGTCTGTATGTTTACGAAAGCAAATGCGAGCCAAACACATATGTACATACATTCATAACAACAAGTGCCGCACGCATCTTTCGCATCTCCGTTGCCACGGACAAACAATGGCTTGTTGTTGGTAGAAAATCCGAACTGTGCCGAAAGAAACTAACACGCAATCGTCGATTATTACCGCTTCCCTTGCTGCTCGAACAACTAAGCTAACAAGCTAGCTTATATAGTATATGATTGTTTTTGTWTGAGCTTGACATATCGACGCTGATTTTTGCGAACCACGGAATAGTTTAGAATTGACAAATATTGTAAATCGGCAACAGCTATGTTGCCACTTTTCTCACTTCTTTCTTAGAACAAACACCAGAAAGATGCTCAATTTATGTTTTTTAGCTTTTGTCATCGTCGCGAAAAGACGCTTGTAGGCAAAGGCATGCTCGGGGAGATGTTAAGGCGTCTGTTTTTATGAATGAAAACGAGCAGCAAGGGAAGCGGTAACAATCGGCGATGTTTGTCCGTGGCAACGGAGATGCAAAAGATGCGTGCGGCACTTGTTGTTATGAATGTATGTACACAGTGCCGATTTTAACACTATCAGCGTCCTGGGCGAGATTTCTACGCCGCCATCCAACTGCAATTCAAACCCATTCGAAATAGGGAAAACATTTAATGAAATAACCGTTTATTAAAATAAATAATTCTTTATTACAAAATATAATTATTTATTAGAAAAACACTTATAAAATTGGATTTTTCTGGCCTTTTTATCAGCGAAATCTATTATAAGGTTGTCAAAGTCGATGTTTTTAGCAATTTCGCTTTCAATTGACAAAGTTGCTAAGTTTGTCAATCTAGATATAGCATCGCAATGGAACATGGACCGTCGGTTACTACTTCGCGTCTGTTTGTTTTAAAATAATTGTTTTGTATGTGCACCGATTTTATGAATGCGAATGAGCTGAGTTTGTTACGATTCGCTAAAATAACGCTAGCTCTTTTTAACCAAAAAGTTAAAAGGAAATAGACAATGTGTTTTTCTATGATTGGGGATTATCCGTAAGCCCCGAGTGAACAGATTGAATAGTGCGTTCCATTCAAGTGCTGCTAACATAAAAAAATCCGCTTAATTTAGGGAATTTACGACAGCAGACCTCGAACTATGAGCGTGAGCTTGGGGGGTGCCTACGGCGTCCATTTTGACCGGGGCCCTACCCTAACACCTACCACAGCAACGCGTGGCCGGATCGCCTAGTAGATATGTATATAAAAACCATTAATTTTCATTTTAGCTAAAAACGCTACGTGGAGTTGAACTTTCGTCTGAGGAACAGATCAAGATTGAGACTATGAACGATGATTCTTTATAAACTGGTGTAATTGTTGTTGAAGTAATGCGGCGAAACTTTTTAAGAAACCCTGAGGAATACAAAAGAAACAGTAAGTGTACTGGACGAAAATCCTCGATAAAATAGATAAATGGACATACCAAACGGCATATTCGCAAATTGGCAATGCSGAACATGATGCGTTTCTTTGAAATCAAAGCGGAATCAAGGTCCACGAGTGTAAAGACGACGTTTTGAAAATTTAAAAGAGAAGTTCAATCTTATTTATGCGTCCAAAGTGCCTGAACCCCGTTTGTTAGATAGCCATAAAAAATGACGCTTTTCCCATTTCGAAAAATACAAATTTTGAAAGGAAGAGTTCCTGATGAGAAAAGTTCAACTCAGATGGCCATCAAAAGTATTGGAAAGATCCACGTAAACCTTGGTAAACTTACTTTAAGCGCAACTATGGCTGTGGGCTGCTTTTAGTTCTTAAAGGTAGATTGAAAGTGGGGAGCGATTAAAAGGTTCGCTGARGTCTAATTGCACTATCTGTTTACCAGAGGTGCGGCTAAGAGGGGGCGTTGGTCTTCAAAAAAACTACTCTCTATATAAATGTGTGCAAAACTTTGTACTACACGCCTAGCGAGGTTGTGCACTAAGTTTAAACCGGCCACGTAGAAACCACACCTAATGAAAATTGGCAATGCGGAACTTCCTCATATAAAATACCTTACTTTTGATGACGATCACAGCAAGTAAACCAAGGGCTACGATTTAAGTTCGGTCCCTAAATTGTGAAGAGTCGATGCCCAGCTGGTTTATGTCCCTGTAAACGAAAATGTCGATATCAACACCGCCCAAGAAATGCGATGGACGGAACAAGGACGGTAACGAGTAGATCCTTTTTACTTTCATAACAAAACAGTTGTCTATTCGATTCTGCTATCTGAGAGCACTCATCAGTAACTCGGTACAAGGTAATTTTATCTGCGTACTTCAGGAGAGGAACAACCYTAGCGTGGAAAGTATTCCTCTCAGATGCATTATTATAAATGTTCTTCAGGTATTCCGGAATAAGCTTCCGCAATCTTTTGCACATCTCTCCGTTTAAAYCATCAGAACCTTAGCACCGTTTGGACTTAACCAGGCCAAAGGCGTCTCTACGAAGATAACAGAGTGTTAGTGACGCGAAGAGGGGTGACATCCTCCCACTTTTGACCACGGCATATTCTATAGGCCTGATCCCAAGGGTGGTCCTATTCTCTCTGACGAAACTTCTCCAGCCCTTCCATTTAATTTTCAGTAACATCTCTTTATATTCCCTAACTGCACAACTAAGTTCATACCTAAGCTTGGACAGCCTGTCAGAAATGGACCGTTGAGGACGTTGAAACCTTCCCATCCCATCCCATTTAAATCAAATTATAATTTGGGAGTAACCATAATTTGAATCAAATTATAAATACTCAATCCCYACCCTCCCTTAACTCTCCACATATGTCTGAGTTTGGTATTGCCGCAAAATTAACACGGCCGTTAAAACGGACGTTCAGAAAACGAAGTTTCAGACTCTGAAAGTATTCGACGCAGGGCCCGCCGTGGGAAGCATAGGAAGAGAAAGACCTCCACTCCGTCATAAAGACCAGATGTCTCTTACAAATTTTCTCAAAACTTTATTTTGAAACCTTTGCACAGTTCCGATATACTTGTATATTGGTGCAGCGCACTCCCGAAGTTGAATTTCATATATCTAGATTGCTTTTAATATTTCCCTATATTAAGATTTTATTTTCTTGTTTTATTATAATTAGAGTTTGGCTCTGTAACTTTTTTGTGTGAGCTTCAAAATATCAAAATATTTCACCGAGATGGAATATATTAGAAGACATATTTATATAACATATAACAGAACAAAATGTTCCCTGAGTTTCATTAAGCACAGACAATCACCAATATACAGATGTATATGGCGACAAGTCATTTGATTTTATTTGAAATTTCTGATATTAGTTATTTGCTTTTCCCCCCATTTTATTAATTTTAGGCGCACCAATACTTTCATTTTATATTCACACATGACTGATATTTTCAGTGAAAGGTCAGCCATAGGTATTCGGTGCCTGGGGCTTCAACAGTTATGACCCGATTTTGATAATTTTATAACTCCATTTGGAATACTTCTAAGCAGTATTTATGCAGAGTTTCATTGGTCCCTTATTTTTATATTGGAAAGTGAACGAATAAGGAGGAATTTCAAATTGTGTTATATGGGAAGTACAAGTGGTTGTTATTCAAATTAGCACTGAAACATAAGAATTTAAGGATACTGATAATTTCTGAATTTGGTTGAAATTGATCGAGTCCGGAGATATGGTATTTCACGTGGGCGATGTCGTGCTCATTGCTCACTGACGGCACCGGCTCCTTCTTGTGCCTTTCTGGATCTAAAATTTAATGCCGATTTCACCTTTTTTCACACTGTCGTAAGAAGGGACGAAAGGATCCTTCGTAAATTTTGGTTATATAGTTCRTGTGGTTAGGGAGAGATATATATTCCCAAGAGGTCATGCCCCCGTTTTGAAAATTTACCGTCCATATGTGCATCTCACGACTTCAAATCGCTTTACCAATTTACTGTTTAGTATCTTAATTTGTAGCTTAGTTATGACATTTTATACGTTTTTGATGAATTGAGATTTTGTGGTGAAAAAGACCAATTCCGCCGAATATGGTCGTGAAGTGAGGTACAATATCTTTTTATTTATTTAGTTTTCGCACTTGTAGTGCTTTAGTTTTCGGTTAACTTTAAGCAATATACATCGGTTAATTTGTGTGATAATTATTAATAGTCGAGATGCCAATAGTTRATAAAATCGCTATATGGCGAAACATATAATTTTTATTAACTTCATGGAATCTAATTAGGGGTTATAGTATTAACATCACTAAGGTGTTGTTATCATAAATAACAAGTTAAATAAAAATTATAGTAATTTATTAATAAACATGTAAATAGTAGTTATTACAAAGAATTATACCTTTGATCGGCCGACAGAAAATTTTTTGGAAATGCTATATTTTCCGGACTAATAACGGGATAGCTTCCAGCTTTCAAATGTAAATCTACATTCTGAGGCTTGCATTTACGGTCTGCAAATAAAACAAATAGATTTGGTTTACTAATTACACTGTAATAATAAAATTAAAAACATTTTAGTTAAAATTATAATTACGTATGTAGATCGAGTAAAAAAATTATTGCTTTGGTGTTTAAAAGAAAGAGGTGGATATCTACATTTTAACGAAAGACAATAATGACGTTACTCAAAAAAAAATAGCACAGGAAATTCGCAAAATCATTGGTTTTTTAAAGAAACACTAAATTATACGTACATAACATCAGTTAATACTCATACTACCAATATGAAGACATACGAGATGCACTTGAACCAGTTCACATAAGAAGGTTCACGATGTCAGAGAATGGAAATTTGCAGGGGTACTGGTCCAAGATGACCACAGTTTTGTATCAGGGGACTCGAAAATAGCAGAATTATGCACTTTGAGCGTTAAATTACAAAAGTTAAGATAACCCTAATGTTAAGAAATGTACGTTTATTTGACCACAAAACACATTTTAACCAGTAACCACTCCCCATATTCACCTGATATGGCACTGATATGACTTCTTCCTTTTCGGAAAAATGCATTTGCCCATGAAAGAAARCTGTATGCAGACTGACGGCCATATCGGCCAACGAGCTAAAACAATCGCTCCACATGCTTTTAGACCGTGCAAAAAGCTGTTTTGAAGCAGAATTAAACTATTTTAAATAAAATAAATTTGTTCTGTTTTTTTTTAAGTCCTGCTTACTTTGAAAAGCTCTTTGTATTTAACCTGCATTAAGAACTAACAATACATGTTTTTATTCATCACCTTTTAGACCTAAATTCGATCACCCTTACTGATGCCTTAACAAAATTCGAAAGTTTAGGTATACACGGTTTGTCCGGAAGGTAAACGGACTGATTGTTTTCCGTCGCGACTGTACTTCGGAGCGTGCGCTCACCGACTGGATTCARTAGAGGGCGTTACTAGTAAACGGACGAGTGTCTCCAAGCACCTGGAGGGTCAGGACGAACATTTTCGCGACGTGTTTCTGTGAGTGGTGCAAGCCGAAAATGCATGAATATGAAACTCAGTAAATCCGAGACAAAGATGTTTGATATGATCAACAGGCCTACGCATTAWTTTGTTCCTCCTGTTCAAACTGTCTACGCTAAATTTTACGTGGAGATCCTCAAGAGGCACAAASGAAGGATCAATCGGGTCCGACAAGACGTCGCATGTGATTAGAACTTGCACCACGACAACGCTCCGGCTCATACCGCTTTCTTGTGAACAGCTACCTCCCAACAGGCATCCCAACGTTTTCACAGTCGCCCTTTATTACCGATGAAAGGCAAGCATTTTGAGACGACATTCAAGCAGCATGCACATCGGCTCTCAAGGTTATTCCGAAGAATGCCTTCGGTGACGCCTTCAATGCTTAGAAATCGTGCTGGTAGCGCTGCATAGACGCAGAAAGTTCAATGTTTATAAAGAATTGTAACTATTGGTTCAATAATATTTTTGTTATCGACTCAGTCCTGCTACTTTCCGGACAAACCCTAACTAACTAACTTTATTGAGGAAAATAAAAGCTTCAACCCATTTTGTACATTTTGATACAATGTATATCTTGACAGAAAAGTATCTGCTAGAAATCAATTTAATAAAAAACAATAAAACTAAAGGGCAAAGTAAAGTGTAACATACTGTAATTTGCTAAGTAAAAAAGTAGTTTAAATAAACATTTATCTGCAATATGAAGATTATTATATTAATTATAGTAGTCTTTATAGARTTTATATCATGGTGGTAAATTTTCAAATCGACCTTTTAACATCAAACAATACTACATTGAAAAAACACATTATAAACCGTAGACGTGCGGGTGACATACTTTAGTATAATGTATAAAACTGTAATCAGCTCATTTAATGAATAGAAAAATTTCACAAAACTGGGACAAGTTTTGAGAATCTTTCGAGAACTTGTTCTGCAGTGACTTCAATGTCATCAAGCGTCTTTCACAACGCCAGACCGATCGTCCATGTTCGTCCTCAGAAGTTTACAAAGAGCGTTCAGAGCTCGCATTCGTCACAGAACTATTTCTTTCAAAACATGCGAAGAAAACTATAAATTATGCGGTATAGATCTAATCGAAGTTCTTCAACGTTTCTAATGCAGTAGTCGGCAACTTGTTGTCTTTTCACTTTTGCATTTGCCTCCAAAGGACCTGTCAGAGATCGAGTTTACCGTTGAGGTTCAAACGTCGCACAACGTTGTCGCTTTGTGGATAAGCTTTTGAATATATCTATCAAACAGTCAATAGGATTTTTCATTTCTTTGGTTTTTAAATCMCATAGTTTTTCTGGAAACAGCAAACTCAGTTGAAATCAATGCAATACTTCTATAGAAAAGCGCGTCTGGGAAGAATTTAGTATACCGTCCTAGGATTTCAAGGATAAAAAGGATATGGTCGGATAGACCATGTGAGTTATTCGCGATTAAAGTTGAAATTTTGCAATTTGTTAATTACATATTTTCTCTATTTAAAATAAATTTTTCACTTCAATTTTTTAATTCTATATACACTAACACATCACTTATTCATTTGCACATATATATTTACATCTACATTATTCAACCCACTCAACAAAAAGGATGGGAAAAAGGGAAAGCGAAACACATTCGTTACGTCGCGTCGACACCTTTCGCCATCAAAATTCGTCACATACAATTCGCACGTCAACTTTCGMTTAAACACTGCGCCGGGTCGACATCTACGCTCCTCTACCGCGGATATACATTTTGACCTGGATACGTGGAAACTAGAAATTGATGATTGATAGCACCGGTAAAACATCTTCGGCTTTGGATTCTTGCCGCTACGCTTGTTGATATTTTCTTACAAAAAAACTTAGAACATTTTATAATTTATATTGTGAAAAGAAAATCAAAATTTATTTTTATTTAAGAGCTTGTGCTCCATATAAATTTTGTATCTCAATTGTTCAAAATTATTGTTGAAATATTATTATTTTAGAATAACAAATGAAATACAAACTGTCAAATAATCAGTGTTATCTTACCGACATCATTTGTAAAATAACTAGACGAAATAAAGTGAACAGATTATACCCGAAATACGAGAATTAACAACCTTTAAAAGAAAATAATTCTGGTCCGTCCAACACCGGGTTGTACCAAATTTTTTTTCGCATAGAACTCCTTTTTGCGCGGGCGGCCTTCGACCTTGAATTTTTTATATATTTTTTATTGCTTATCAACGATTATGTTTCCTATATTTAGGGAATAATATTTCTTTATAATTTTTTTTGTTTTAGTTTGTAAAATATTTTAGTATCTTAACACTGATAATTTGACAAATCTACAAATTTATTTTTACAAAAGATGTCGATAAGGTAACACTGATTATTTGGCAGTTTGTAATTCATTTGTTATTCTAAAATAATAATATTTCAACAATAATTGAAATGTACATTAAAAGCAATTTTTGCACTATATTATATAAAATATATATGTGCAAATGTATAAGTGTTGTGTTAGTGTATATAGAATTGAAAAATTGAAGTGCAAAATTATTTTTAAATAGAGAAAATATGCAATTAAATATTCCAAAATTTCAACTTTTATCGCGAACTCAAAAACTATAAGCTTCCTGCGGCTATATATCCTTGATCAGGATAATCTCCTCTATCTGACCATATCCTTTTTAGCCTTGAAATTATGGGACGGTATACTAAATTCTTCCCAGACGCGCTTTTCTATAGAAGTATTGCATTGATTTCAACTGAGTTTGCTGTTTCCAGAAAACTATGTGATTTAAAAACCAAAGAAATGAAAAATCCTATTGACTGTTTCGTGATCTGTAGAATCTCCTCTATCCGATCATGCCCAGTTTTTAACCAAAATCCTGGAAGGGTATACTAAAGACGAGCCGCGCGTCTTTAAATCTTCACCGACTGTATCTAACAGAGCAATGTACACTGAGACCCTGTAGTAATTTTTCACGCATAAATTGTCGCGTTTTGTTTGTCGGTCGCAAATTCTTGGCTTTTCTTCGCCAACTTAAAGTTTTACCGCTATTTTCCTCTTGTCTTAATAAAGAGATCGAAAATATTCCTGAGCTTTTTTTAACCGAAAAAGCTGTTTTTTCTTGTCTTCTGTCCTAATTGTAAGTTTTGAGAATTGATGAAATCCTGATTCCAAATCTAAGCAGTGAAGTATCACGCTTCKCATAGCTATCCTATCTTCCCTGTTGAAGCACTAAACATGCTTTAAAATCTTTTCAGCATTTTTAGGATAGAACACCATTGTACATTTAGCAATTTCCACCTCGCTGTCATCCAATGCATTTTCAATAACGCTCCGTTTCCGTGATAGTGTGTGATAAATATTTTGTGTTTCTCACTGTTTCTTTCCGATTTGGTATCTCTATACTAATTGTTTAAAAAGACTTCCATGTGCTGCCAACAATCATTTTAATCAAACCACATAAAAACTACAATATTTAAAAAAGCGAACTTTTTCGTGATTCGTAGAAAAATACAAGGTAAGGCTAAGTGGCAATATACAACGCATAAAATAAACAAATGATTGAAAATAGAAAAAGCGGTAATGAAGATTTATTAAAACAAGAAAATCTCGATAATTTAGCAGCGTCTAGGTGAAAAAATTACGTCTGCAAAATTTCCATCTTGTGCGTTACAAGCTTGGTGGCAAACTACATATTTATACATAACTAGCTTTTACYCGGGTTCGTCCGCATACATTTTTTCTCCCGGCTGTAAGTCCCCCTGCAACCATGTCCCACTATCGTRTTCCGGTCCHCAACTTCACATCAAAATTTCTTCAAAAACAACCTAAGCACATAATGGATAGCTCCGAATGTTTCCTTAGTAAATAATGTAAATCGGTTTAAAATACTACTAA